GTTCTTCCCATCCCTCTTCCCTAGTTACTGACTTTTTTTTTTTAAATTTCAGTATTAAGAGGATACAGATGTTTTGTTTCATGACTTGAGTCAGGGCTATAAATGTACCCATCACCTGAATAGTGTTCACTGCACCCATTAGGTGGGTTTTTGCCCCCCGCGTCACCCTCTGCCCCTCGCAGTTATTGATTTCCTAACCATCCTGTCAATCCCACTTCAAGCTTACCTTCCTCTCAGAAGCCATCCTGGACCTTCTTGATGAGCTCCTAGGTCTTATCTATTATAAGCTCGCACCAAACCCATATTTTTCCTTTCTAACACTTATTGTAGTTGCAGTTTTATCTGTGTGATTATTTTATCATCTTTCATTCGACTGCAAGCTCATGAGGACAGTGATCAAGACTGCTTTTGTTCGTTTGCCCGTGTGTTCCCTTCCCCCAGCTCAGTGCTGCTGCAAGGGAGGCACTTGATAAATGTTGAAGGAAGGAACGAAGGCCCTGCGTTCCACACTGAGATGATATGCCAGTCCGCTCTTTAGAAAAGCAGTATGTGAAAATCTGACCTTTCCAGCAAAGGAGGGAAGAGCCCCAAGCATGTCACCCCTTCTCACTGCTAAGCAGAAGATGAAGGACATTGTTCCCAAAATGTAGAGCTCCACAAGGGCTAGGTCTTTATCTTTCCCATCAAAGGTGAATCATTGATTTTGTTTGGTTTAGGGTTTTTATTTAGGCAGCTGAAGTATAAAAAGCAGCAATTGAAGAGGTATAACTTTACCCAAGGAGGCTGTAGCATTAATGGTTAAAAGCTCAGTGTCTTGATGGGACTGCTGCCCAGCTATATGACCTTGGACGAGTTACGTAGCCTCTCTCGGTCTCATTTCCTTGTTACGACCCATTTCATAGAGTTGCTCTCAAGTTTCCGTGAAAGAATGCAGGGAAAGCATTGAGAACAGTGCCTGGCACAGAGCATGTACTCGGTACCCATTAGCTGTCCTTCACCTCAGCTCTCCCTGCCTTCCTGGTGGTTGCATAACATTTGTTTCACTAAGCAGTAGCACTCCGCTCGCACAGGGGATGGCACAGGGTAATAAGGAGACAAAGCTTCTGGTTCGACCTCTGGAGAAAGAGGGGTGGGAGACATATTTACTGCCCACTATTCAGGACTTGGCCTGAACAACGTAACATGTGTAATGGTGCTTGAAGATGCTTGGAAGAAAAGCATAGGATAACCTTAAAGGGTGCTGAGAATTTCTCCTATTTGACCTTTCCATTGCATTCTCTCCAGTTCCCTCTTCTATTCTTCCTTGTGTGTCTGGAGCAGCCCACATTGCCACAGTGAACTTGACTGTTTTGAAATAGTTCTAGGTGAAGGCATGCCCAGCAATAAAGGTTCACAGAATGTTGATAGTAGGAGCTCAGAGAAGTTAAGTAACTTACCCAAGGTCACATGGTTAATAACCCTAGTATAAGAGCTGGGCTTTGAACCCAGATCCAGCTTATTCTTAACCACTTAAGCTTTGTGTGGATCTTGAGCTGCCTGGAGGTCTTTGAGATTTCTCCGGGTAATCCACAATTAGGTTCCTATACAAGGAAGGGTGGAAGGGCACCCAAACAGCATTTCCACACCACTCTTTTTGGCTGTGGGTTTGAGTGAGAGGAGATGCGGATTTCGTGAGCTCCTGCGTTGGCTTGATGCTGCTGTATTAGAGGGGATGGGTAGGATAATAAAGCCTTAAGGTCGAAGGAGAAGATTAGAGATCATCTTAAATAGCCCTAGGGCCATTGAGTAACTTGCCCAAAGTCCTGTTCCTCTGTATTGATGGAGCTGGCCAAACCCAAGGCTCCTGGATTTTCTTCTCATACCAGCAGGCCTCCCTGGAGCAACGCATCTCGGCACTCACATCTCACTTTACCTCAAATCCGCCTTTGTTTCTTCCTTGCTAAAGGTCCAGGAGCCTACTTCTTGTCTTCCTTAACCAGCCCACCTTCCCTCCTTTCCTCTGCAGTAGAAGATGATAATTCCCATAACCAGGACCATCCCAGGCAGCTTGGGGACTCTATGTTTGTGAGGGAGTGGGAAGGAGCACAGAGAACTAGATATATAGACAGTCCCAGACTTATGATGGTTGGACTTACGGTTTTTCAACTTTATAATAGTGAGAAAGTGATTTGCATTGAGTAGGATCCGTATTTCAAGTACCCATACAACCATACTGTGTGTTATTCTAATACAGTATTCAGTAAATTACATGAGATATTCGACACATTATAATATTATGAAATAGATTTTGTGTTAGAGGATTTTACCCAACTTTAAGCTAATGTAAGTGTTCTGAGCACATTTAAGCTAGGTTAGGCTAAGCTATGATGTTCAGTAGATTAGATGTATTAAATGCATTTTCAACTTAAGAGATTTTCAATTTATGATGGATTTACCAGAATGGATATTTTCCATTTTTGATGGATTTTTCAGGACGGAACCCCATTGTAAGTCAAGGAATATCTGTACCGAGTTAAAAAGCATTTGAGGGGCCAGGCGAGGTGGCTCATGCATGTAATCCTAGCACCTTGGGAGGTCGAGGCAGGAGGACCACTTGAGGTCAGGAGTTCAAGACCAGCCTGAGCAAGAGCCAGACCCCATCTTTACAAAAAATAGAAAAATCAGCTGGATGGCTCACACCTATGGTCCCAGCTACGCCGGGAGGCTGAGACAGGAGGATCTCTAGCCCGAGTGACAGAGTGAGACCCTGTCACAAAAAAAAAAAAAATGGTATTTGAGGAACAGTGGATTAAATGATGCTCTCCCTGGGAAAGTAGGAGCAGAGCAGCAAGGCAGAGTGCGGGGCCTGTTTATACCAGGCCTCCTGCCTTCAGGCATGGAAGATCCCAGAGAAAAGCTGACACCAGTAGGTCATGAGGATGCCACTTGTTTAGATTTCAAATGTGTTCCATTCCATGCCTCACTTAGGAGGAGTTGGCCGCCCTGCTCAGAGCCTGGGCCTCATCTGTTGAATTTTCCTGAGGCAGAAGTGTCACTGCATTCTTTCATGTGCGGGGTGTAGGCAGCACTGCCTCTTGTAGTAACTGTGTGGACACTTTGAACTGTGTCCTTGCCAGCCAGTGCCAGAAGAATGGCACTTGCAGGGACTGGTAAACTTGGGAGAAACTTTTTCATGTCCTCATGAAAAGCGTGTTTTGCCCTAAAATCAGAGAACATGTGTTCTAGCAAAAGTAGAAAGCATAAATCTGTTTTCTCCATCTGCACCAGGCCTCAGAGGGGACATCCAACTGGATAGCCACCTGCTAGGTGTCTGATTTGCTTATGGTGGGAAAGTGAAGATAAAAAGAATGCTATTTGCAATATTGTGAAACGCTTGGCTCAGAGTTTACAAATGCCTTTTCCCATATTTCCTTCTTCCTAAACCCCTTTATACCAGAGCGTAAGACTTTTAAAGACCAGGAAACACCAAGAATGTATGGCAGAAACTTGCACTAAGCCAGGAATCTGGTTTTCAGCCCTGCACTTTCTCTTGTCTTCTCCCTCTGGCTTCAGGTGCCTGTACTGTTGCTGGCCAGTGTCTAGCCCTGTAGACAGTTGCTGGAATGCTTTGTGTATACCCTTGGCCAAGAAGACAGCATAGTAAAGCAAAGCCCAAAGGGGAGGAACCGACCATGTGACTTAAGTTTCCACTGGCAGTCGTCCGCCCGGATGTGCACTGTGGGCAGGGTCAGCCTGGGGAGTGGCAAATACAATACTGTGGTTTTAGTTTCTTTGCTGAGTAGGGTTTTTTTCCTTCTTAACTCTGAGCTTCTTGAGGAGAGGGACAATGTCTTATTCATTTTATCCCTTGTACCCAACACAGTGCTTGGCACAAAGACGTTGTCCATTAAATCAGTGTGTTACTTCTTTTAGAATAAAGAAATGTCAAAAGCCAGACATAGCACTATGCCTTACAGGTTTCAGCCTGTGCATAGTGACCCAAAGTACATTCTGGGCTGAGGTTACAGTTGGCTGGAGAGGTATTTCATATCTTACACATAAAACATAAAAAAACTCCAGCTTAAGCAAGAGCAGGACTCTGTCTCTACAAAAATAGAAAAAATTAGCCAGGCGTGGTGGTGCATGCCTGTAGTCCCAGCTGCTTGGGAGACTAAGGCAGGAGGGTCACTTGAGCCCAGGAGTTGGAGGTGGCAGTGAGCTATGGTGATGCCACTGCACTCTAGCCTGGGGGACAGAGTGAGACCCTGTCTCAAAAAAAAAAAAAAAAAGTCTACCTCTATCCTCAATCCACCAGCGCTGTGAATAGAATTTGGCAAATGTCTAGGTGGTTTACTCAGCAATGCCCTTTATGTGGCTGTCCCTGACAAGGGACAGTATGAGTCCTGGATCCAGTCAGGATTTTTAAGAGATCATTCACTAAGCAAAAATGATCTAGCAAACTGAAATTGGACTGGGTCACTGAGCAGAAAGCACCTTCTTTCTGAAAAGTGAAGAATTTTAGTAGCAGATTTTTTTTTGCCCTTTTAAAATCACACTGTGAATTAACCTGTGTTTTGAAGGGAGGATGGAAGGATTGACTAGGTGCTAATCCTAGAATACGTACAACATTAATTATTCCAGGAAGTTTCGCAGAAAAGCCAGTTTTGTTGAAAACGTACTGCTAATTACAGGAGAATCTTTACTTCCCTACTGGCACTGGAAAATGGAGTGTTTCTGCTTGGACATAAAGTGTGAGGCAACCCTTTCCTGTCTGGGGAGAACTTGGCTTTGTGTACTGAATCCCCTCCCCTCTTTAATAAACCATATATTTTTTCCTAAACTCTGCTGTCATTGTGTGATTCTTTTTAAAGTTTTTTTCTCTTAATGGAATACACTGGTATAAACTGTTTTGGGGGTGGGCAGGCAGGTGGGCAGATAATCAGGAGGAGTGGGGTGAGAAGGAAAGTATTTAAAAGCTATAATTTAATATGCTAAAATGCTTTTTCACTTTTTTTTTTTAGGATAAGGAAGCCTGTGTAGGTACCAACAATCAAAGCTACATCTGTGACACAGGACACTGCTGTGGACAGTCTCAGTGCTGCAACTACTACTATGAACTCTGGTGTAAGTCCTTGCCCAGGGGTTTCTTGGTGTTCCAGGGTCCCGGTTATTGCCTCTGCTCAGTGGGAAACTGTGGGCTGGTCAGCCCTTTTCTGATTCTCTTGGGGATGATTTTGGTGAGCAGAGTCTGTTTACGAGTTCCAGAAGTGCTTCCTTCATAGAGGAGGAGAGTTCTGGTGCTTTTTGGACACCGTGGGCTGAAGACAGGAGAACGTGGTTGGAGCCAGGTCTGCCGCAGAAGCTCCTGCCTCAGATTCTCCCTGACACCCTCTCCATTTTGTGCGGAGCAGCTGACAGCAACCTAGATCCTTCCTTGGGCCAGCCCAGAAGCATGATGCCGGGGGTTTCCAGAATTCCCCATAGAGCTTTACAGAGCTGCCTGTTTCAGAACGTCCCTCTCAAAGGAATAGTCGCTCTCTAGGTCCGTGCCTGTGGAGCCGTCCTAGAGAGAAGGAGTCTTGGGCTTCTGCCCCTTTTGTTCCTTTCCCACTTCTCAAACTGAAGCTTCCCCAGGGTGTCTAACCTGTTACTATCAGCTAAATGCCATATGGAGACGATACTTGTCACCACTGGTTAGGTTGAGGCCAGGACTACTTGCATCTTCCAGGGTGGCACAGGGTGGTGACGTTATTGTCTTTAGGGAGTGACCCAGGGTTGCTTCAAGTAACACACTTTGTAGTCTGACTTACGAGAACTCTGATGAGACAGTATAGGAGGCTGGACAAAGAATGGGTGGTTGGGGGATCCCTTAGGGCAGAGGCCCCAGGTGACCGACATTGTAGTGGGTCTCACAACTGTCTCTTGAGAGAGGAAACTGTAAACAGTTTTCCCAGGTAATTCTAAGCCCCAAGCACTGCCTCCATTTGGAAACAGACTTTGTGTTTGTCAAACCATGCCCTACTCCCACTATCACCCCTCCCTTTTCCCCTTTCTCATCTCCTCATTCCTCCCACATCAGTGGTGTGGTAAGAAGGCAGCCAGAGAACTGTTTGGACCAGAAAGGAAATTAGGCTCTTGGCTGGGAAGCGTCTCCTTCTGAAATGTAGTTGTGTCTTGTAGCCGGCAGGACTGGTTTCTCTAAACAGGACCTCTCCCTCACCTGTACTTGTCCCTTTCAAGGACCAAGAACTGGCTCATCTGCCTTTTGGAGGAATTCCAGGGGCAGTCCGGTGCAGGAGGGGACAGGGTTCAAGATGTCCCTACCAGACTTCCATACCTGTAAGCAGCAAAGGAAGGCACAGAGTCGTTCTTGCTATTTTAGAAGGGGTGGGGCTGAGAAACTTACTAAAGGACTCAAAGTGCCAAGCAGGTGGATGGGCTACATCTAAATGTTTTAAAATGCAGATAACCCCAGGGTTCAAATTCTCCCTCCCACCCCTTGTTGAAAGTCAAAACTGGGCTGCCAGAAAGCCACAGGGCTGCACTTTGTTTTTCTGGGGCCAGGCCCAGGTGGCGAAAAGGAAGAGTTGCTGATGGCCCCATCTCAGATTGACAGAGCCTCCTGGGCCTCTGGCGGAGTGGACTCAGTAGCCACCAGAATTGGGTCACCAAAGCCAGGAGTGGGAGGCGGGGTGGCGGGGACAGGGAGACCCAGAGGCAGGGAGGTAGTCTGGGAAGCAGGTACTTCACCCCAAGGGCTTAAAGAAAGTCAGAGGAAGAGCTACTTGACTAGCTGATTCTCTCTCCAGATATGATCAGTTGGAGAAAGGAGGCCAGACAGAGCCCAGTGTCTAGACAGGGAGAAAAGACTCCCCATTATGCAAGTTGGCACAAGCTTGCCAAGTTCTGGAGGGATAGGGATTATAAAAGTAAAACGTTCCTTTTGTCTATGCTCAGAAGTGACTTCTTGGTCAGGAGATACCCAGTGTGGATTCTCTCCTTCTCAGAAATTCCTTTGGTTTCCTCAGTATTAGGGTCATGACTTCTGCCTGACGTGTACAGGACAGAGGTTGAGTGTTGAAATGAGCCCCTGAAGTTCTCATCAAAACTGCACATTTTGTTGCTTTAAACCCTGTTCCCTCTAATTGCCTGTCAGCTTTGCTGAAGTGGGAAAGTAATGGGCTTTGGGTTGGTTTCCCACCCCTCTTCCTTTGGAAGAAAAAAAACTTCAGCCAGGAAATCCTCTGCAGAGTTTTGTGAAACTGAATCTCCTGTGTGGTGAGGATTGTCTCACACACACTGACACACATACACTTTACACAGACACAAGCACACGCAGACCTGAACCTTGGCCAGTAACCTTTTCTCCCATGTCTTCTCGGTCTGTCGTAACCTAAGCCAGTTGCTGGGCTGGCGTGCCAGGCGAACGGAAGATCCCGTTTTACAGGTGCGGTAGTTAGGGCTATAAGGACCTGGTCATTGTTACGATCTCCATGCATTTGTATGGCAGTTGCACTTTGACTTACCATTCCATCGTGTGTTCATTCAGCAAACCCATATTCCAGTGGTTTAAAAGTTGCTGGGCATCAGAATTTCCTGGAGGGCTTCTCAAAACACATATTTCAAGGCCCTACTCCCCGAGTTTTTGATTCAATAGGTCTGAGGTGGACCTAAAAATATGCAATTCTGACAAGTTCCTAGTTGATGCTGTGGCCTGTCTTGTGCTAGAAACTGTGGGGCAGACAGAATTCTTGCCATCGCGAGGTAATCTGGCAGAGAGAGGAGATAAGACCAGATGTCCAACTAGTAATGTGAAGTAGAGATGGAAAGTTTGTGCCAAAACGTCTATGGATGTTCAAAAGGAGAGTTTGCTTTGGCTGGATAGAGCTTAGGGCAAGCTGCATGGGAGAGGTGGCGTTTGAGGTGGGCCTTAAAGGGTGGATAGGATTTACACACGTGGAGAAGGGTAGAAGGAATTTCAGGATGGGAACACCATAGGCCAAATCCCTGTGGGAAAGAACAGAGTATGCATCTTGTTAACTGTTCCCCTGGGGCCATGGGGCTTGCCTGGGAAGAAATGGGAGAGGAGGATGCCAGTGTGGATAGAACTCTCCCAAGTGCCAGGCACTAAGTAGGGTCTTCACCTGCATCATCTCGTTTCACCCCAGGAACCAGCCTGCTAGGTATACACGTCATCCCCACTTCACGGGCTTGGGACAATAAAGAAGCGCTCTGTGGGCTACAGCTGAGAAGTAGGGTACAGAAGGTCTTGAGTGCGAGATGAATAACCTATGTACGTGTTCAATTTCAACCTGCGATGATACCGTTCATGGAACAGACAGAACAAAGGAGAAAACCAGTACCCGGGGAGTCCAGGAACACGCTCAAGGCCAAAAATCCTAAAGCCAGATCTTCCAGTTCTCACCCCAGGGCTCTTTCCACTCGCCAAGCTACGTTTTCCAGGGAGATGTCAAAGTTGAAAATTTATGCCCGTGAGATAATTTGGGGGAATTTCACGCAGACATCAGTTTTCCCTGGTTTGGGCTTTAGTGGGGAGATGATCATGTTTCTGGACAGTTGGAATTTCCCTGAAATGACATAAAACAGGCTATTAGCAAATCCAGTCAATGCTCCCCAGCTTGTTTTTCACCTGCTTTTTTTGTTCTTTTTAGTTTGTCTTAAGATACCCATTGTTGGCAGGGGCTCGGTAAATGGGAGTTGTCTGAATTTCCGATGAATTTTGCCAAAAACAGAACCTAGAAGCAAGCACTGAACTTGTTCCTGAACCCGTGTTTCTTTATGGAATACTTTTGGGGAGTTAAAAGGGAAATTGAAAGGAAACCCTTCCCATCCATCTGTGGTTATGCCTGTAACGTCAACAGCACCAATAATAATAAGCTAGAGAACTTACCATACATATGTCAGGCATGCTTCTGAGTATGTTACTGTATTAACCCCCTTAGTCCTCATAATGGCCAAATAAGTTAGAGACCGTTATTATCCCCATTTTACAGACGAGAGAAGTAAAACCAAAATGGCCAAGGTCACAAAGCTAGGAAATGGTTTTTCAAGCTGGGCTTTGAACCCAGGCCATCTGGCTTTTCTTTTCCATATCTGCAGTCATGCTCGTAGAAACGTTGGCAGTCTTTCAGATGAACTTGCAAGTCTCCAAAGTCTTCATTTCCCAAATTCAGGCCCTTTCTGCAGTGGCAGCAAGCTCCTGCCCGGAGCTGTGAAGGGCCCAGCCAGGGGAGTTACCCACCAGCCTGTGGGATGGAAGGAGAGGTGACTACAGTATGCCTTGGCTTCCTAATGGGGAATTTCCTGCCAGTTGAGGAGTGGTGTTTTCCCGAGTTTTAGTGAACTCTGGGGCACATGACTCAGTTCCTACATTGGACCATGATTGTTTTTAAAAACATGTTTTCCACTTTGCTTAGCATGACAAACGCTCCCCACAGCGTTTGGAAGTTGTCATTGTGGAATGTAGTCTCTGGGTTGGTGTGTGTGGGGAGGGGGGAGGAGAGGGAGGGTTGTATTTCTGTGTTTCTCTTGTGTGTCTTTCATTAGGTTTTACTTTCTTAAGCTTTCTTCTTTGTTTTTGAAATGTGGCTAAAAGATTAAAATTTTGCCTAACTCCATAGAGACTAGTCTGAATATTCCCCCTTTTAAAGTTGTTGGGACATGACTGTGACTAGCTTGGCTCCCTAGAGAATCAGATTTGTGAGGGGCCAGATCAGAATGTCTTTTGTTCTTTTCTTTTCTTTTCTTTTTTTTTTTTTTTTTGAGACAGAGTCTTACGCTGTTGCCCAGGCTAGAGTGAAGTGGTGTCATCGTAGCTCACTGCAACCTCAAATTCTTGGGCTCAAGTGATTCTCCTGCCTTAGCCTCCCAAGTAGCTGGAACTACAGGCACATGTTCCCACACCTGGCTAATTTTTAAATTTTTTTGTAGAGACAGGGTCTCGCTATTGCCCAGGCTGGTCTCAAACTCCTGGCCTCAAGTGATCCTCCTACCTCGGCCTCCCAAAGTGCTAGGATTACAGGTGTGAGCCAGCACACCCACCTAGAATGTCTTCTGCCTTACTTCCCATTGAGTGGGACCCACTCCCTAGGGGTCTTTTCTGTACCTGTGCTAACACCCCATCATGCCACTAGAACTATTCTGTTCTCAAGTTAGTTTTCCCCCCGGTTTTGACCCACACAAATAATTCCTTGTGGTCCTATGTTAGAAATGAAGAAATCAGAAGTCAGTTTGAGACTAATATAACATCACATAATTAGTACATGGTAAGGATAGTTTTTCTGTCCGTAATATCAAATGAAAAGAGGGAGGCTGGTGGAATTTCAGTAAGCACGTAAGTTTTCTGGTGCTATGTTAGATCTGAGGAAGGTAACTTTGCCAAAAATATATGTTCCAGTTGGGTCATTTCTTTCCCCAGCTGCCTTCTGCCCTGCCAGATCTTTTCTATTAAAAAAAAAAAAAAATTTATTTTGCCCCAGGGCCTATAAAAAATCTTTTTTCTATTATACTTCTAGTTGAGTGGATCTAGCCTTTTTCTGGATCAAGGATTCTTTTAAGAATCTGATGAACCCTTCAAATCCTCTCCCCCAAAAAAGCCTGTAAATACACTGTAGCAATCAGGATAGGCTAGGTTATGCTGAAGGAACAAACAAGTCCAAAATCTTAGTGACCTAAAACATAAAACAGCAGGGTTACTTGTCATTAACACTATGTGTCCATTGAAGGTTGGATGGGAGTTTTGTTTCCACTTCATCATCCTCTGAAACCCAGACTGACCTTGAAGTCACCATCTGGGATGTTGCCAGTGACAGAAGGGAAGACTAACGGAGGGTCTCACATCAGCAAGAAATGTTCTGGTCTCTAAGTGACATACATCACTTCCAATCCTGATTCTTGAGTTAGAGTTAGTCCCAAAGCCTTATCCAATCATAAGGGGGCCAGGAAGTCCAAGCCTACCCACATGCCCAGAAAGGGGAGAACCAGAAATATTTGGTGAACATGAAAACCAGCGCACGAGATTTTTATTTTTAATTAAAAGCATGCGTTTAAAAAACAAAACATGTTAGAAAAGCTGAGAAATACTGGCTTAGATCATATATATTGCAGCATTAAAGTCTGAAGTTGGTTTATCTTTAGGTAAACAGCTATTGGAAAGATGACTTGAGGCAGGAGGAATAGTAAAGTTGGATGCTGATTATCTAGTGGGAGAATTTACTTCTAAAATTATAAAGTAATACAGAAATCTTATGGATTGTGTGATTACACTGAGGAAGTAAGAGAAGAGTAAATAAACCCAGGATTGTTTAGATTTGACTCCCAAATACACGTGGAGCCAGGCTCTTAAGCAGAGTGTCCAACTCCACCCAGGAGGAGATGTTATAGAACTGTGTCAGGTACCCAGTTGACTCCATGGCTCCTTTCTGGCCTCTGTACGATTCCCTGAGGTTTCCTCTACTAGTGTCTAGTCTTAAATCAGCCAGCACTCATAAGGAAGGAAATGTAAGTTAAGTTAAACAAGTTTCAGTCGTGAATCTGGGCAGGACCAAAAGGAAGACTTCTAACGTCCACTTATGTTCTCTGGTTAGGAATGGGGTTTTTCTGTCGACACATGGGCAGAAGGGAAAAACCGCTCTGTCTGTTGTCTTCTGCCTATTCTCTGAGTACAAGGACCCAGCATGAAGCTTTGGTTGAATAATGATGTCTGCTGAAAGCAATCAGGTGTCATGGAATGGTGTTGCCAGCCTGCCAGGACTGGGAGGCTGTGTTACCTTCCCAACTCACTTGGTGGAAGAGAGCTTTGTGGGGCAATTCAGCAGGGAAACCCCATGAGGACAGGGGAAGAGCCATTGCCAGACACCACACCCTAAATGCCAGTGGGATCTTTTGGAATATTGTCTGTATACAAATAGGGAGGAAAAAAAATTGGATTTATTCATTTACAAGTCTGTTTGGGGGACAGAGAGGCATTTTTTT